TTAAAATGAGTTTAAAAAACAGGAGGCAGCTAACGCAGATGTAAGAGCATCAGCTTAATGAATATATGACAGGATATTTGCAGCAAGGGGTCACTGGCTTTTCGACTGGCTGCGGTCTCCAGGTGGACTACAGCTGATGTGTCGGTTTTCAGCCGCCCCGTGCTGTGCAGCACAGGCCTGTGCAGCAGTCTGGAGGTTTGTATCTGAACGGAGCAAGGTCAGCTCACCCATGGAGTTGCAATCAAGGTGGCAAGACCTTGGCAACCTGGTGATCTAGCTGAGCATCTGGACTGGATCCAAAATGGCTGCGGTGTCTCTGACACGGGGGCCAAGTGTCTCCCTGCTGCGTCTTCTGCATCTCTGCTCTGTCTGCTAGCCATCCTCCTCTTCCTCCTCCTCCTCATCACTCTCCTTCTGCTTGCACAAGTTGTTCTCAGGCCCTGTCTGTGCCCTGCAGTGCCCACTGAACCCATGGAGGTGAAGGTATAAAGCTGTGCGCTGTTCTGGTCAGTGAGGGTGGTCTCCACATCTCCTTCCTTTCCTTGAGAGCCTCTAACTAAGGACGCAATTAGAGTTTATGTATTTGTGCTGTAGTTAGAAGGAGCAGTGGTTACAATTAACATGAGAGAGAGGAACTGTAGGTACTGTTTTGCAGACCCCAGCTCTGTCTGAGGTGGGACTTACAGGAGTAATGTGGGCAGGCAAAGACAATATGTGCTTTCAAGTATTGCACAGCAAGTGGGAGTCTATCCCGTGGTTTTCAACTTTTTTCATTAATATAAATATTGTAATTTTCTTGCAAAGTCAGGTGTCTTCAAGAGCTAGTGTACACAGTGCTCCAACTGAAAAATTAGCCAGCTCTTACCCTGCTATCAACAGGAACTGCACGGAGATGTAACTGTGGTAGGGACCGGATAATGGCAATAATAGCTGGCATGTGAATTGCTTTAACTCTCTGAAGCATTTTGTGACTGCCTGATCTAAAAAGCCTGTTGTCTTGCCTGTGTGGTTTGTTTACCTATGAGCTAATTCTTTCCAAATCCCAGCCTACCTGAGGGTGCACTATCAATATCCAAGATAGGTTTTGAAATTAGGAGTTCCTGACTCTTTTTATTTTCCCCTGTTACAAGACACTGTCCATCCCCTGCAGATGTTTGGCCATAGTGAGCCATGCTCACAATGATCTTATAGCAGGTGCCAGAGCCTTCCCTGCCATAATTAAAAATCCCATTTAGTTCAGTTGATAAAGTTATCCTTTCTGATACAAGCACTCCTGCTTTCCTTTGTTGATAGAATTGTTTGAATGAATATTAGATTAGTTTTTCATGGGATGTATATTGACGTGAATTCTCCACCTGCAAAGAGCTTGGTGCTGCTGTTCTCATCTTCCCATCCCGTCGCATCATGGTTTGGTAGCACCACTCACCTTCTCCGTATCATACTCAGCCATGATCAGATGTGAGGCGTTTACTTGCATGGGATTGCTGAGGTGTGGGACAGGCAGTGCCTGGAGTGTGGCTGTTGTATGGCTTCTTGTGCCCATGTCATCAGTGAAGTCTGAGGGCAGTATGACCACACACCAGTGCCAAGGTTCTGTATTCCAAAGACAGAGGGAATAAAAATAGGAAAGCAAAGAAAAAAAATGTTGCATTAGTTATATAGACAATATGATCCAGTTGAAAAAAACAGTGCTCTATCTAAAACTGTGCAAGAATTTTCTTTGAGGTTCATCTCAAAGTTTGTTAAAGGTCACTATTCAGAATGACTGCATCAGAGTTAGACATATATTCTCATACTTAATAATATTATAAAAGCTCTCACTTTATTATTCAAATAAAATCTTCTATTATTACAAGTGATGAAAGCATAAACCAAAGTAGTGTAAAAGAAGATACAGGTTTATGTCTGGAATTCTAGATCCAAAATGGACTTGATAAAGTTAATAAAATTCAGAAAACCAAATTGTTGTGAAAAAAAAATTAATCCGTTAGCAGCTTACGCTCAACCACCTGAGATCAGAAGATTTTTTACCGTCTTTTAACGGGTGTAGCATGCTGTACTGTCGGACCAAGACCGTAGTATATAATAGGAGAGAAAGGAACCAAATCTTTTGCAAATATTTACACAACTGGTTGTATGCTGAAGTGTAGAAGTGCCCAGTACTGGCCTGTCGTTTAAAGGACATTATTTTCCGTTGATGTTTAATCTAAGGAGTTTTCCATTAATTGAGGTGAACTTGCGTAATTGTTTTAATACACTAATACTGCTCTTACCCTGAGGCAGTGTCAAGGACAGGCTACGTGCATAATGAAAGATCTGTCTTCAGGATGCACATGTGTAGTTCCAGCTATCTGTGGAGGCACATGAACTCCAAATGGCTGTGAACAAAAGCAAGATCGGGACCACTGACGGCAATCTGTCCACAGGACCAGAATATGGACCTTGTTATATACTGTTCATTTTTGTTCATCAGTGGATTGTAGAACAATATAATTTGCTTTGAAAACAATTCTGCACTGTCGTGGTCAGTGTCAGCTTTTGTTATTGTGTGTGTCAAATAGCCATATTCACTAATCCTTAATATCTGATTCAGTCTTTAATAATTTATATATTTTCTTTCAAAATAACCAACATAGTCAGACCTGGTAATCAACAAGCTGAGTACCAGAATAATCCTTTTATCTGTCTCTCTCTGTTCTGCCACTTATGAAATAGCAGAAGACATGCTTCGGACATCCTTATTTTCCCCCACATTCAAATATACATAAAATAATGAGCCTGAAGGCAATAAGGACTACTTGTGCTAAAGAAATGTTTGTTCTGAAAAGGAGACTTGGTACCTGCTAACTTTCTCCTGGGAGCACGCAGCTTGGTCTGAATCATACGCTACTGGCTTGTGGTGAAGTGAGGTGTTTTCAAAATGTACTGCTGACACAATTTTGAAGTAGAATACCCTGGGGGAAAGATGATGACGTATTTAAGTAATTGGACTGTGTATCCTGGATATACTTTTGAATTTTTCATAGATGTCTTTCGTCTTGTCTTTTAGACATAGATGTCTAAATGCCTTGTTTGATTCCTTTGAGAGCGTTCCCCTGGGGAACAGAGAAAGCAAGACAGTGGGGTTAGACCTACTGAATCTTTAAAAGCAAATTTCCAACTGCCGCCTTCAAAACTTAAATTCACAGCACAGCTTGTTTCCTGGCAGCCAGGAGTGCCATGAAGCGGCCTCGGCCTCCATCCCACTTCCTAGAAGCGAGCTGAGATGGAGAGAGCACGGTCGCGCTGGCAGACCAGGAAGCGCCTTCTGTTGCAATGACTCCTCTAGATACCCGTAACTCAAGTACGCACGAGGACTGCCCCGCGGGCTTCGTGCTGCCTCTATAAAGAAACGTGCTCCAGCCAAGCTGCTGACACATCTTCTTTTGGCTGGTGCATCGGGTGGGAGAGATGCAGGTGTGCCGGCAGCACGAGAGGAGGTAGGGTGCTGCCTTGCTACAAAATGAAAGCAGGGGAGTTGCCAGTAGCAGTTGTCAGTTTAGCCCGTAAAATGTTCTCTCTAAGCTTGTCTAGCGCTTTTCTCCTCTTTTCCTTGGTTTTTCCCCTTTATGGAGTATGACAAAGCTTTGAGTGTACTAGAAATGTGGATAAGGGGGGTGGTGGTAGTGGGGATGAGGTAGTGAAACTGGAGAGTGTTATGGTAATGTAGAGTATATGCTTTGAGTGGCCACCAGTCATTTCTGTGCAAATAACCTTAAGCTGTGACTTCTCTCTTCATATATGAAGAAGACAGAAATATATTTTTTGTGTAACATACACAGGACATTTTGAAATTATGCAGTGATACTTTTTGAAATTGCTTTTGTTGAGCAGTACTAATTTGCCTTCAGTTTTGCAGTTAGTGATTTTCATAGCATCTTGTGTGTCACCTTGTGTGAGCAGTGAATCTTGCACACAACTAGTGGGGAAGAGGCAAATGCTTTCAAAATAGGAAAATTTGACTGAATGCTGGCAGGAGCTCAAAAGCAATTACATACTCTGAAGAGGTACTCTCAGTTCAGTTTTACAACAGAGTAAATGTCAGGGCAGCTGTATCCCCTTCAAATGAAATTGGGCTTGCACTGGCAGTGTGGCTTTCTTTGCCTTGTGCTTCTTGCTTATTGAAAGTGGGTTTTTTTAAGAAAGATTTTGAACTTTTTTGTATTTTTGCTGTGAATCCTTCATTGCTTTTGAAAACTGTTAAGGTTAATGTTGCTCAAGATTCGCACCTGAAGTCTTTGCTTCCCCATTGCCACAAGTGGTTCTGTGTTACTGTTCATTATAGGATTGCTTAAACAGTCAAAGTGGTTACTGAAGGGCTTTTTTTCTTTTGACTACCTCTAGAGAGCATGGCTACATTCAAGGGAATATGAACCGATTGGTTAAGAGGTATTCAGGATTCTGTCAGTTGTTGTTAAAGTCAGAGGCAGGAAATGGCTCACTAAAAGCAGGTTAGCAGCAAAGTTAAATCGATTTTATTAGATTTTTTAGACAACTGAAGTGAAAAAGTAGTTGGTGTCAGTGGAGAGGGGCAGAGGTGATAGGACTGTTAGCCCCCGTGGAGCAGCAAGAAGGTTATTTCTGTGAGTGGCTGTCGCCCATGCGGCTGGCTGGGAGGGAATGGCAAGGTTCAGCATCCTTGATGTAGGGTACTCACCATGGCTGTCCAAAGACATGTCAGGTGTCTTTATCTTGATGAATAGTGGTGTGTTCTCTCTGGGTTATAAATGTTACGTTTTATTTTTACTCTTCCAGAAACATAATTTGACTCACCGAAGAATTAAAACCAACAGTACCACGCAGCCGTGTGGGAGAAAAGGGGGTTTTAGACTCAAGTGACACAATCAAGTCTTGAGAAGTAAAGAGATTTGGATGGTTTCTCACCAAATGGAAATTATCTAGAAAGCCTCTGAGACCACTGCATCTCTCCATCCCACTCCTGCTGCGCAGAGACAGTGCTCTTGGCCCTGGACGTTATTAAAATGCTGGATTCAATCAAATGTGTCCTGGTGGGAGACTCTGCGGTGGGGAAAACATCTCTCTTGGTACGTTTCACCTCCGAGACTTTTCCAGATGACTACAGACCCACTGTATATGAAAATACTGGCGTGGACGTCTTCATGGATGGTGTACAGATTAGCCTAGGTCTTTGGGACACATCTGGCAGCGATGCCTTCAAAGGCATTCGCCCCCTCTCATACCAACAGGCAGATGTGGTACTAATGTGCTACTCAGTGGCAAACCACAATTCCTTTCTGAACCTGAGGAACAAGTGGATTGGCGAGATCCGCAGCCATTTGCCCCGCATCCCCGTTTTGGTAGTGGCTACTCAGACTGACCAGCGCAACATGGGGCCCTACCGTTCCTCCTGCATCAGCCCCACAGACGGGAAGCGGCTCGCCCAGGATGTGCGAGCCAAAGGCTATTTGGAGTGTTCTGCCCTCAGCAACTGGGGGGTGCAGCAGGTGTTTGAGTACGCCGTGCGGACAGCAGTCAACCAAGCCAAAAGGCAGAACAGGCGAAAGCTCTTCTCCATTAACGAGTGCAAGATCTTCTGAGGACCTTCAGCAGTGGTTTTGCCCGTGTTCGTTCTTTCTGCCTTCACACAAAGATACTGTGGAGAGCGAGAATGGGAGGTGAATCAAAGGAGGACTCCTGGCAGGACCACAGTGCAGGTGTCCCTAGAGAGACAGATGTACACTCTGTCTGATCTGCCTTCCCCAACACACGTGGGGACTATCTTGAAAAACAAAAGGTGTGGGTCCATGCCCTTATTCACAAGCCTGGAATTTGCTAGCCTGGACTGGAGCAGGCCTAGCCTGGAGATCTGCAGATAATAGCTGTGCTGATTTGGTTGTTGTTTCTGTTGATGTTCCTCAGTTGTTGGTTTGTCTGCATTTATTTAATGACAAACTTCTGCCTGGATCAACCTTCGCCTCTTGACATGTCTGTCCATGCGGAGTTTTTTTTTTTTACTTTAAGAGCTTCGTGTATAAAATCTAACCACTGTGTATTCTATTTAAAAGACTCTTGTATACATTGTTGTAAACTCCTGACAGTTTGTTTTCATATTTTGGAGGTTCTTCCTTTAGCTAACCACAGAAGCAAATTGTCCTATCCATATAATACGTGGCCTGCAGGCAAGCCTAGCACTTCTTAGAAATGCCTGAGTCGCTGCCCGAGTTACAGTAATCAAATCCAGTATGTCCAGCATAGGAGTAATCAAAACTTAGTAACATTTGACAGGTGTCCTGTGGCTTTATGGGATTTATTTGTTGTCTTAGTCTTGTTCCTCAGCAATGTGGTCAAATATGGGATGAACCAGCAGGAAACTAACCTGATTCTTCCTAGACCTCACCTGGTTGCAACCCCAGAAGGGCTGGTTTGCAGTCAGAGCTGGTTTAGACATGTGGTTTGGGTGGCAGAGATTAACCTGTGCTATCATCACTGCTGTTGTCCCTGCTGTAATTTTGGAGCCAAAAGATTTCGGTCTCCAGGGATGAAAATTATTTTTTCATGAGCACTAAAATTCTCACATATTTTTAGTACACTTCTTTTCAAAATAGTGGTTTTGGTGAAACCAGTGACCTACTGTAGTAAAAAATTAAGTTCATGGCAATGTTGAATGTGCATTTTTAGAATGGCTTTTTTTTTTTTTTTTTTTTTTTTTTAATTTACATGCTAAATATAACTGCCTGGGTCATATCAAAATGAGATTGAAACAGGCTTTGCATCCTGGGCAGCCTGTCAAGTCTAAGAGTCAAATCCTGACATACCTACTTGGGCCAAGTTACCCTCCCACACAGAAAGCCAGGCTAAGGAGGTGGAAACTCCAGGTGCATAAGAGAACTTTGCTGGAAGATGGAGTGTGGTCAACACACAATGCTGTACATTCCTCATGAGTTGTGGTGTTCCTCTCCTCCTTGGGTTACCCATCCCCTCTGCCCTGCACCTTCTCTCAGGCCTTGCAGATCTGTCTTGTCCCAAGGTTTCTGCTGCCCATAGAGGAAATGCCCTGGGGATTTCTTAGTGCAGCCAGATTTTTTTTCTCCCTTTCCCTGTCCTTCAGGTATCTCAGAACTGACCTCTAAGGGCCTTACAGCATGCTGCCATAAAAGATGGCACATAGCACAGTAGGATGATTCTCTCTCCGTATGCATCCCGAGTGAATGACCTGTGTCTGTTTTGACTGAGCCCCGACTCGTGTTTCAACAGAAATGGATGCAGCGGTTTGTCTGGTTCAAATACAAGGTGGGACTTTCAGGAGTTACCCTACTAAGTAAATAAGCTATAGATCAGATCTTATCTATCTATAGTTTGTCCCTGAAAAACTGGTTGGGTGCTCTTCTCCGTACTCTGTTCTACCTCTGAGCTTCTCTGTAAAGAGAAATTCCAAATTAAATCATTCCCCTCCTAGGAATCCCAGAGATGATTTTACCTCTGAGCAATAATTTGCATCACAGGCACCTCGAATAGCAGTGGTGCACAGGACACTTGATGTTGTGATTGTCCTGCTGGCTCCCAGGCTGGTGAATATTTACCACTCATCAACCTGATTGTAAGGGAGGCTTCTGGTCATAAAAACATTATGGTCTTATGTGAGGTTTCCAAATCCTTTAAATCTTTAGAGGCTTCTGCACCTGAGCACACAAGACGAGGGCTCCCATCACAGCCCATCTCTCCTGTACTCTTTTCCACTTCTCTTTCTCTTAGCAAAACTTCAGGTGTTGATTGCAAATCCTTTGTCCCCTGAAACACTAAAACTGACGTGTTTGTAAAATAACCTGAATGGTGTGATACTCACGCAGAGTTACACAAGTGGATAGGTGTTTGTGGCCCTCGGTTAAAACCTTTTGGCTTTTGGAAGAAATATGTTTCTACATCTCAATTCTTGCAATGCCTCTTCACTGAAAGTTTTGGGTTTTGTAACCCTAATTTAAAAGTAGCCATTGTTACTGTTTGAACATTAAAGATTACATGCAAAATGTCACGGTGTGAATCTTCAAATCTGTTACAATTGTGGACATTTTTGTTATGGTCCCCACTCCACTAATGGACTTAATACCTGGTTTCATCAGCTTTTTTTGAGACATATTTTTGACAGTGTGTTCTATTAAATGGTCTTTTTTCTCTGTGTGTTAACCTTTGTATATAAACAGTTCATGCTGCTGTTTTTATGTGTTGAAGAGCAGTAATCGCTAGGCCAGGATGCTGTGTTGTGGTATCTGCTGCGGGATGCTGGATTCAGGGACCAGAAGGCTCCAGAGAGTTGTTGTATCAGACAAAGCCAGATGGAGATGTGCTCCAGGATCACACCATAACTGAAAGTCCCATCTGATCCATATTTGCTTCGCAAGGCTTGTTATGGTATATTACAAAATTAAGAATTCAAAGTTTCCTTGCAGTTCAGTGAAACAAGGGGGTAGGCTTCCCTGAGACGCCAGAGCTGATGGTACGGAATGCACAGGGCATTTAGAGGTGGCTTGACATACTCTTGATTGTGCATCCTAGAGCCAATGCAAAATGTGAGGCCACCAAAAGCTGTCTGATTTTAAAAACCAAACTGGACAGAGGACAAAGTAACAGGGTGATTTTGGTTTGGTGCTATATGAAAAAAGCCCTGTTCCAATTTTCACAGCCTGGTTATTTTCAGACTCTCAAAGCTAAAAGGCACTTGTCATTGGAAGCAGCAGGCTGTGAAGCACATTATTGTAGTGTCTAATTATGCAGCTTTCCCTGAGCTATAGAACTGATGTGCTCAAAAAGGGTGGCAACTCAGTTGCAGAGGGTGAAACCTGGACATAGCAGAGCTCAGCAGAAGGTTCGGCCAAATGGCTCGTTGGGGTGGGGTTTGTACAACTGCAGCCCTGCTGCACGTGGCGTCAACGGCAAGGAACTGCTGAGGTCTGCTGTGAAACCCTACCAGGGTGGTTTTGCTAGCGTTACTTGGGCAACGGGGTCTCTGGGTACAGCTCGGTGGTAAAAATCTGGCTCTAATATTCAAAATACATTCACAGAATCACAGAAATTCAAATTGACATTCAAATGACATCTGGGCACACATGTTAAGCTTCAACTTTGGTCTGAAAAACAGCAGGTTGAGGGAGACTGAAACAACGTGCACCCTCGCCTCAGTCAGCGAGCTGTTCAGCGAAGGGAAGAGACCTTGCCTAAATGTTTCCTTTCTATCTTCTCAAACCAGTCCCTTTCAGTTTGTTACTCTGTTGCTAATTTTACTTTTCCTTGCTATTAAAATAGGTTAAAAGTTTTAAAAAAAAATAAAATACTTGGAACTTAAAATGAGAATAGCAATAGCACTGTTACTTTCGTCAGTGTCTGACCTCATTTTACCAGAAAATTCATTTTGGGTCACTAGTTGTTTCACTGAATTCTGCACATCAGATAAAAAGTTGAATAGATACACAATTGTGTTTTAAATAAAAAGCTATTCTTTTAGCAGAAAAAAAAGGAAGTATTTTCCTTTAGTAATTTGCAAAATGTGGTGAGTATGTTACGTTCTTTTAAATACAGATTTCCCAGCCTTTCTATACTTACTTGGTCTATAGCCTAGAACATCAATATTTTCTAAGAATAAATAATAAAAATATGCTTCAGATCTCCCCCCGCCAGTTTTTCATATGGGAAGTTATTCAAGCTTGTTAGATATAATTTATACTGTTTCGCCTGATATTTGCAATTAACAGTTTGCAAATATTTGTATAATTTTTGTGGGTACTCTGTGTACTCAGTACTGCGTACTTGGTACTCAGTATGTCTGAACACATACTAGCTAATGCTTGTATTGATAAAGAAAATGCATTTAAAGCAGTATTTTATACGTGGCACCACAATGAAATAAATCACCGCAGGGATCAGACACAAAGGAAGAAGAAATCTTGGCACTTTGACATCTCAGCCTTTCCTGTATTACTATTGCATTTGAGTGAACACAGCCATTAAAATAATTTAAAATAAAGGGGGCAATTCATGTCACATAGCACTTTGTCCTAATGCCTCTGCTGCACAGGACTCGGGTTAATATACAAAGAATGAAAAGCTTAATTTCAGAATGTGATAAGAGCTTGTCTGCTCTTGCCTTTGTGAGCAAGTTAACTACCTTGACTTAATTAAAAGCCAGTTCAGCCTCTGAAAAAAGACAAATATGAGCAAAATCGGGTTAACCAAACTCCCTTCTTAGAAATGACAGTAATGAACTATTGTTTCTGGATGTCAGGAAACGTATGTCTTGGAGATTTTCTTCACAGCTATAAGTCCAAAAAATCGTGACCAGTTATCACTGTGTAGCTGTCCTAGCTGACCTGGGCGCCCTTCACGTCATGCTCTGAGCAGCCAGCTGTTGAAAACAAAATTCAGGGGGAAAACAACATTGAGATGTTTCCATTGCCATAATGGCTTCACTATAGCTATGGTGGCCTTCCCTCTGCCCTGGACCTCCCAGCCCGTCGCAGTGCGACCACGCAGCTGCTGGTGCCAGCGTGGTCCGTGTTGCCTGGGGGGGCCGAAGGGAGCATGGCCACCAGGCAGCATGGCCACGCTGCCCGGGGCAGCTGGGTTTTAAGCAGGACAGAAGTGATTCTGTGTTGCTCCTCAGGGCTCCCCCTTAGCAGGCATCACAGGCAGTGGCCCCGCTCTGCAAACAGCGCTGGCTCTGCCTCGGTCAGACTTCTGTCACCTGCAGCTGCTCTTGCAGTAACACGTTTATTTTG